AAGAGAAAGATCAGGATAAATTAGATCATGAATACGCGATGGCATTACACATGCAACTTAATGATGATAACTTCGAAGATGCAATAGATCCAAGTTCTGGAGACACTACTCGACGTGTTCCTATTCCAGCTGACCAATTAGGAAGTAAAACAAAACCTTTGCACCCTATAAAATTGGCAGATCCTACCGTTTCCTCAACATTAGGCACTTCTCAACCTCAAATTAGCTCACTTAACGCACAAGAACAACTTGATTGGAAATTCGCTATGCAATTACATGAGCAATTAAATACGGAGGTCCCCGAGTCAGGATTAGACAACATTCCAAGCAGTAAGGATAAACAGGTATGCAAAAAGCGTGATCATTCATCTAAGGAATCTTCGATGCAAGCAGCAGATATCCCAACAAACAATACGACTAAGTTTAATATGCCTCTAACATCATCGCGTAATACAACAGAACTTGAGACGGATGTTAGAGAAGGTATAAAATGGGACCAACAGGAAAATGAGAAATTTATCGATAATATCTTCCGAACAACTTTTGGTCAATCAAATAATAGTAAACTTTTGGAGGATGAGTCTGCACAATTGGCGGATATCTCTAGTTATAATGAGCAACGTTTGAGCCGTACATCAATTTCGAATACGTGTAATGATCTTGAAAACAACGACAATGTAAGCTCCAATATCACATCGCATCATTCCCAGTGTCGAGAATTTTGCACCTCTCCTAGAGATCAGGGTAAAGTGCGCTGTATCTATTTTTCGAACATAATTTAGTGGTAATATCTGTCGATCGACTACTTTTAAAGACTAATTATTTCCGTTAGTGATTAGAGGTTTCAGTAACAATGTGAGCCAGGCACTGCTAATTACCATTATGATACAAATAAATATTGATATCATCCTAATGTACGATATTACTCCTTTTTAATGAAATATTTTACAGCTATGAAATCTGGATTATTTTCCTATTAACTAATAATTCGTGTCTCTTAGCGATGTTGAGTCGCTTTATTAACGGTCTTTCTACTTATGCTATATTCCTTTTTATTTTGCTATAGAAGATGATGTATTTATTCCTTGCGAATTTTGTAGAAAATTGTATCCTGGAACACATTTTAAGGAACATGAAGAGGTAATGATGCAATTAGTTTCGGCTTTAATTGCCAGTTGCTCAAGTTATTAACATATATCACTAAAGTTATGTTATAGGAAACACCATTCCATGAACGAAGGCATAGGATTGACTAATTCTGTATCAGAAACAACTAGTAATGATATGCCTAACACTGGTGTGGAGTTATCGCATTTATTGTCCTTGGATCATATTTCCCCTACGTTTCAACGGAGGAATTATACAAATGAAAATGATAATTATAGAGAATACAAGGAACCTAAAGATAGGATTACAACTAATAGTGATCTTAAAATATCGTCGACCATTATAAAGGATATCAATAAGCGAATTTTTACTCGAAAACAGAAATCTACAGGGTTACCAAATGATAAGAAGAGCGGATCAGTAATGCCATCTCATGCTGTACACTACACATCGGATGAAGATAAAATTTCTCATTTACCTTTCCAGAAGAAAGATAAATTACGTACAATTTCTCAACCTTCTGCTAAATTATCGGGTCCAGATATTGCTTCTGCTTTTGATAATAGTAGTCACTTATATCAAGACCGCGAAATCTCTGTAGAAGTACCCACAACTACACGCTCAGAGAAGCTTAAGAAATCAAATCGTTCGAACCCACTCCCTTCTCACAATAACTCAATTATTTCCAGAAATACCTCAGTTACATCTATTAGTAAGCACGATAGTAACATTACCTCAAGTGGTTATAGATCCAGCGGTGTAGTTAGACCTAGAAAATCCACAGTTAATGGTCTTCATAATCCACTTTATGATAAAAAGAGCGAGAAATCTCGATCACTATTTAACGGAAGTGCGCAACAAAGCAGCCATAATACCACAGAAACTAAAAGTGCTGGAGATCCAAAAGATGGATATGATGGTCATTATGACAGGAATGATGAGGAATTAGCATTAAATTCTCAATGGAGGACATCACAAATTTTATCACGCGATTACGTAAGTAGGGATCGCCTGCCATTTGAAGAAAGCGTTAGATCAGCTAAGAATAAGAAACATTCAAAAAAGACTCGCTCTGGCCATGAATGAATGGAATGAAACTGCTTGATACAGTACAGGAGCATACGATATTGTTGAAGTTATATATTTACATGCAGCATATAAAGGACGGGGTAATGATATATTTATGATCATTGCAGATGTAGTAGACATCTCTGAAAATACTTACAGATTTCTCTATGTTAAGCCTTTGTGCCAGGTGAACAATATGTATTTAAAGAGACAGTTTTACGGATTTACATTAAAAAATGTTGTATTGAGTGGTTTAACAGCAAAGTAACTTATGAAAACATTGGAGCCTGTTGGCTGGTGATATATATGATCGTAAGATTTAGCTGTAATTTGCATATCTTGGCATAAATATTTGAAAGAGGGTATTTATATTATAGATCTTCATACGCGTCACCACCCTACAAAGCAGTTGATTTGCGAACTATCTTTGTTAAAGGAAAATATAGTATTTATGATATCTGTGCCTTTAGCCTTAATTTTAATTATGAATCAACCGTAACCGTTAATAAAAGTAGAACAGCTACTGTATATTACGTTAACAAGACTAAAATCTAATTTGTATTATACTTGCTGATTAAGTATGTTATATTGTATATGACGTTTTCATTCATGCTTACATTTCATTTATAAACTGTACAGTGCGGCTGCTATAACTAATTCATGAGTTGCAAATATGGACAATTTTAAGGCTAATTAGTATCAAACATATTTTCTTTTTACTATTAAAAGTACTTGGTAGATGTATTACTGTATTTGAAAACTATTTTAATAGAAACAATTGCTTTACAATAGGCATTATTGCAACGATGCACCCCTGAAATTTTTCGTATAATTAACTTGTACTTCATACCTAGATATGACTACAAAGTCGTAAAAGGTTTACTTCGCTAACTAGTCATTCTCGATTAATTTGCTTACATGTAATTATGTTATCATTCAGTGTGTACTGGTAACCACGAGTTGGAAATAATATCAATAATAATCGCTACAGTAATACTTTTATGAATCCGAGCCGATATCAAGCGGAAGGATATACTTTTTCTGAGACTTCATAACTGCAGTTCCTTATGTGTTGTAATTTTATACCTTTTTATTAAATCAGTCACCAATTGTAAGCCTAGAGTAACAAGCTCTTTTTATGTACTTTGCCTTAAGGGCTGAACTCTATATACTGTAAGTTGTTTTCTTATCACAAATCTACGTAAGAGATACCGATAATTATAATTAATTAAACTAGGGGAAGGTACAGTACTATACGTTATTATATGTGGAGACCTTTAAGTGACAGTAATTCTAGAAATGGTTTCAAGTTTATCATTTCGCCGTTATAGAAACGTATGAAGATATAAACTTAGGTTAGTTATATTTGTTTGCCAGTGATGGCCAACAAGGACAAGGTATAGGTATTTCATATCACTAAGAGCTATGTATCAACAAATTGGTATATTACGGCGTATTGAGTAGGATAATTGATATGTCTGCTGCTGTCAAATCTTAGAATTAGACAATCCTAAGCAATGTACAAGTCAATCCTTACAACATACCCCTTAGGACAATTCTAAGGATTGTCCGAGTCAATTCCAGTGCACTAACCGTGTATCTGTTAATACCGCTGACTGATTTATCTTGCGATAACCAATGTGGAAATGTGGATTAATTAGGTCCATAGTAAGAATAAATGTGTATCGTAACAGTAAAGTTATAACTCTTTCGGTAGATATGTACATTGTACAGTCAGTCTAAAGATCAACCGGTCATTCCTAAGGGATGTCTTGTAAGGAATGACATGCACAATTTACTGTATACCTCGGCATTTCGTAACAATGTCTAATGGTATACCGTATATTATTAGACATTACTACAAAACGCCGAGGGCTAAATTGTACGTGCTTTTCATCCGGTTATCCCTATACACATACCGTATAACATAAATACTGTAATTGTGTATTACGAAAGTGTTTCACTTATCCTTATTAGATTTGGTTTAAACGTGGTCCAAATTGAAATTTTTCATATCTAAAATGAGGCCCATAAGAAGATCATATTATTGCGGCTGAAATATTTTGTACTTTACAGACTACCAATCTTTTACCATGCTGAAATGAGATTGAATCGTTTGGAAACTTTATTATTAAGTCATCGAAATTTCGTATTACAATTTAAATAATCTAAATCTTGGATAGCACATTCCGTATGTCACTATACTATGGCTGAAGCAAAAGTTTAACTGAGAAGAAAACTCCAAAAATTTTATTGATATCTTTTCACATTTCGTTCCTGCAGGTTTTAATAAAAATAACAAGAATGCATTACTTTGTAAGACACATCAATAAATGTTTCTCTTAGCAATGATGTGATAAAAATTTGAGAAACTTCACTAAAAAGACTATCGGAATTAAAATGTCGTACATACTAACAACTTTTGGAACAATGCAATATACAGTACAATAATCAATACATGCTTTGATAAACATTAAGATAGTTGGTCTTAAAATATTCTCAGGTTCTCCACTTAAAATCAAGTGTTGCACTGTATTGGTGAATTAAAAGTGAAATAGTATATCTAATTTGATTGGTAGATAAAATCGAATCAATTGTAAAGATTACACAGTACATTCATTAACAGTGAAATACGTAATTAATTACTCTACACGTAGAATAAGTTAAAGGGTTGAACATTTAATAATTTCTATTTAAAAGGGCAAACACTTTATATTTGGAATAAACTAATAGATTTTAGATTGAAAAATTATAAACTTGTTTAAACTATAGTGTGGAGATATGATTTGATTCCTTTCACATTATAACATCTCATATTGAAAAAGTTAAGAAATTATTGAATTTTCTTCTCCATCACTGAATGGAACTCTTCTATATCTCCTTACGGGTACTAGGTGAGTATCAGTTCGGTAAACAAAGGCATTCAGCAACGCTTGCAATGGATTTACTAAACCCTATATGATTACCGTACAATAAATACGAATCCAACTGTCATGTTAATTTGTATGACAAAAGATACATAATCTTCCTTGCACCTTTCTTGAGAGTTACATTTAATAAAGAATATCCCTAAAGGAACAATGTGATGAAAAGAAAATAAAGGACTAACCATAACCATCCATAATACAAGCTTGAAATCTTGAGCATCGGTATATACAAAGAAACATTCAATGATATTGGGTACCCAGCTATTAAAATAAGTAAAACCCATTAATCAAATTTAAAAATAGATGATTTTCTCTTAGTATAGTATGCATTCTGTTCCATTTTTTCCTGCATATAGATCTATCCGTCATAGCTGCAGTTATTTCCGACAATTTTATTACGTTATATTGTATAGGATTAATTTAAATATCAGCGATGCTTGTCCATGCAAACTTAAGCTATGTATTCAATAACTACATCCTTAATGGAAATTTACATCAATAGTTGATACCTACCAAATATAAAAAATAATAACAATCATCCGAAACTTCCACCGCAGTGATTCTATTCTCTTACGCAGTTGATTATTGAATTCTCCATTGATAGCTGCAATCATAGGTTGCACTAGCGACATAAATGAGCAAAAAAATAATATTTGGTCTATTGAGAATTTTCACTATTATGTATACATTTTTATAACATGCAGTTGTCTCTTTATGTCTACGAAGATAGCTAAAAGTTGCACAAAATTATTCTTGATGAATGCACTATTACATTAGCAGATACAGTAAAGAAAATAAGCTATGTGATAGATTGAGTGAATTCAACGAATATCTCGTCATTACATTATGATTAATTATTAACACGATATTCGTTACGGGAGCATGAAAGTATCCGCTAGTATATTATGTCCACATTTACTCTTTCTGTTAAAGAATGAAATCAATGAGCTCAATACTGAATTGATAAATTTCACGTTACCTTCTCGAGATACAAAATAATAGAAAATTGGAATTAGTATCATAACCAAAAGAGCTGGCAAATAACATGTCATATACAGTAGCAAAAGCAAATCGATGTTATTGTAGCACCTTATAAAGTAAATCAGATTATTGAGGTTAGTAGGATAGCAAGAGAATAATTTTGTATATTTATTTCAGCTCTGTTTAGAAGTAATGGTACAGTTGATTGTCACTTCAATTCTAGAAGGGCAATTTGACAAGTTATGTACAGTTCGTAGTACAGTTAAATATGGTACTATAGTCATCATGACTAATTTAGTACGTGAAATATTTGTACCGTGTTGCCTAATGTATTGCAAAAATATCCTATATGATAAGCTCTTAGAATATTAAATGACTTAATCAATAGTTTACCGTTTTAACCCAGGATTATAAAGTGTTATCGCACTAGCGCTGACTAAGGCAGTTGAAAGGCCCCATGTAAAGATTTGGTAATAATACAGGTAACTATGACAGCAAAAATGAAAAGTGAGTTATCGCATAACTGCATGATTTTAAAATATGGTGAAATAAGTTTCCGTTAGCTACCCTAGCTATGACAAGTATTATGATATAAATCATAAGTATGGCTTTCTAGTCATGCTGTACAAGATCAGTTAAAATAAATGTGAAATGATAGTAAACTCTGAAACTTACTTCCTTTCATCTTTACGTACGATTTTTCGGTAGACTTCCACAGCGTAGCATAATGTCCAAAAGAAAGTAGCAGTGTAGAAGAAGCGTATTACGGTCTGTACAAGAAATATTACACTATTTATTTTAGGTTTACGTACTCATAATCTCATTACAGTATATTGTAAATTTCCTTACTTAAATATGAGCTTTGCGATATTATGTAAAAAGTAAGCAGTGTATTTTAGTAATTTGTCTTAATAATTAAGACTGAATTAAGGCAAGATTTTCTACAGGCGCAGTTTGTGTGTTACTTTTAATATACAGCTAGTAAAGTAACTTTACTGCGCCGATTTTCATTCTATTTCCCAGTATTTCTCGCTTATTACTAGCTATCATAGTGGAGCTTTTAAAATAGGTCTCTTTAGGTTCATTGTTAAACAAACTCATATTATTCCGGTAACGGTACTTCAAATTGAGGCACAAAACAAAAGAATGGTCAAGATGAACTTGTATTTGATTCACAATTACTAACATCAGTTTTCTTTACAAAAATACATCTTGATAAGCGTATTGATACCAATCTATTACACCGATGTTAATGTAATTACCTTAATACTATGTAATCAATGCAAGTACCTGCATCAATTTAAAAGTAAGCATTACAGTATAATGCGAAGAATGTGATTAGTGCTTTTAGAATATTAATATTTAACTGAACGCGATATGCATTGTACTGTATAAAATCATCAACAAATCTCTGAAAGTCCTGTGAAATGAGGTATTTTATTGTTTCTAGTACATTACCTGCAAAGTGCAACAATTGCTATTGTGCAGATATGGATCTTAATAAAGACTAATTTGCGGTTTATCAAAAGTTAAAATGGCACGGTATCTTATCATCACTTTACATCATCTCAATTAGTTATGTACAGTATCAGTTAGCTGTGTCCTGACATTATGACACAATCTTATGCACTATGATAGGAACAAATATCGTTGTTACTAAATGATTACATTACAAAACAATGAATCGGGGAATTGCTACATAAGAATATACTATATAAGTGCATATGGACTTACAGCTAGTATAGCACAGAGTAAATTGCCTACACTGGAGCCGTCTTGTGTAGGAATTTCCAAAATATAACCTCTAAACAGTACCATCCATAGGACAGATTTAATCAGCACAGCTATTGAAAATAAAGGAGAAGTGAAGTAAGTCACGCCATGCAAAGACGTAAAACTAATCATATAAAATCTGAGTATGGCTGAAACAGTAGTCTTCAATTATTAGGTAGTACGATATAGTAGATTTCCTAGGATTCAAATTCGCGTTGGAGCGAGATATGACGTAGTAGAACGACCGTGAATATTTTTGTGCCTGCAAATTCTCTTCTTAGACAAGTAAAATGTATTCTATTTATGTAGTACTGTACATACAGTATGCAGTGGGCTCAATTCTATCTAAGCGTAACCTATCACTACAACGTATAGACTGATATTGGTCGTAGCAGTCATAATTTCGTTACCGTTACACGAAAGCATGCAATTACGCCAGTAAATTAACCGCTGCAGTTATTACTAGCTGCCATGCCGTACGTAAATCGCTTACGGAAGCTACATATTACGGATATGGAAAAATCGACCTGCATTGCAGAAAATTTAAACGAGTACATTGCATAATTACAGAATAAGTGAAAATATTGACTTATCGTTATCCCTAGATCATCTTACCAGATACAGCTAAGAAATCGGCAATTGTTAACCAGTAAATTATTTTACGATGATTTAAATATGATTCGTTGTTGGTAGCAGACTGATTGGAAGATGCTGCACTCCTCTCCCAAATATCACTGTTATATGGTGTCGTGGAATGTTGATCAATCTCTCCATGGTTTTCAGGCGATCTTGATTGATTGCTTTGATGTCGATATCCAAGGAAAATGGTGTAGAGAGCGCCGAACATACTAATTAAACTGACTCCTGCACATAGACCGTTGTATGCAAAAGGATAGAAATTGATCAGATCATCCGTTTTTAAAGACGAATTAGCACAACAAAAAAGTGCTAACTGAACGGAACTCATGGTAAACTAGAAAAGAAAAGAATATATCCAAAGAAGCAAATCAGTAAAAGGAATGATGTATGATTACATACTGTAGTGGATACTTCAAGGTGAACAATATCGCTAAATCGCCTTAATTTGTCGTATTTAGAGTGTAAAAGGAGAAACATCTATAGCTATAAATTCTAATTGTGAAAGTATGGAATATACAAGCTGCAATGAGATTAAGCGATCAATTATAATTATTAACATTACAATTGTCTTACTGTATTGCTTTAGAATGGAAACTCATCCCATACGAGGAGTTCAACTAACAAAGAAGAGTAAGTTGTCCGGTAGTACTGTACTGTATACGTACAATATAGCAGAATATTACATCATCAAATATAATTCCAAATATGTAGTTAATTAATAATTTTTATTTTATCCCTTATTCGATAGTCAGGTTTACTGTATTTCGATTGAAAGAACGTGAATATGCGTACACTACAGCACGCGTATATCTACTATGGTATTTTTTATTTTATTTACTATCTCTCCCCAGGTATGTTATAAAAATTTAGATTGGACTTCTGATTCATGATTATTATCATTAAACTAGAAGATAGCGTATCGTAAAGCCAATGAAGGAGTCATTCGTTAAAATTATTTCAAGCTATGATGATAAATGCATGATGTACAATTATCCGAAAGTTGATTCTTACCTTCGTTTCATCCGCACTTGTTATTTTACGATAAATCCAGTATCACTTTCTAATGTCGATAGGTCATGAAAAGTACTTGATGAGAGATAATAGTTGACAGTAAATTATCACTTTATTATCTCCAACGCTAACCGATGATTCTATCGTTGCCGTTGAGCCTTTAGCTCAGCACACTATAATTCTCTAGCTATCATAGTATCCAAAGTAAGCTGTAAAATTGAATTAGCTAAATTTCATCATACTCTACGTCAACTTCTTTCCTTTCGATTGTCAATTACGGTGATCATAAACAGTAAATAAGGGCGAGTACCAAACAAAGTTGTGTTTTGTTATTAGTGTACAGTACAGTACTGTACTGCCTAGAGTTTATGGCTTACAGTAACTGCATACTGCACTGTACTGTACACTGTACAGTACAGTGTACTGTACACTTGGGTCTCTACTACAGTGTACAGTATACTGTACGTACAGTACTGTACTGTACACTTTACAGTCGGATGCACTAGAGTGTACAGTACACTGTACTGTAATCTTTGCATTCTATCGACTGTACTGTACAGTACAGTATTCTACTGACCAAGATCCAGGCCAGACCATGAAGACCTCCAAATTGCTTGGTGCTGTACTGTACTATACTGTACATACGGTACACTGTCCAGTACAGTTTACAGCATGCTGTATTGACATATCTAAAAAGAAAAACTTAATATTGGCATATCTAAAATGTATCAGTAGGGTAGACATATCAAAGGTTCGGTTGGAACCGCATGCAAACCGAATGACAGCTTAACTAACATAATACAGTATACCTACTGTACATTACAGTACATCGGCACCTACAGTACAGTACAGTACAGTACTGCATGGAGCTATTTTGCATAAATTACTTTGTACTAATAGTTTAAGGAATGGCATGTGTTTTATTGTGGGGATCAGTTAAAAGCAATTGCATAACTTATTTACTAAAATACTAAGATTGCAGTTTTTTTATGACATACCATTTTATTCTTAACTACTTGAAAGGATAAGGTAGAATTAATAAATACTGACAAGTTAAACGATACAGGGTATGCAGCTGCATAATAACTAGCTAAAAATTATCGTCAATTACTGCATTACTTCTATAGCTTGATAGATTTATGAGATGATCTCAACCTAGACCTAGACTGAGCACGTACATTTAATAGATTATCTTATAATATTTGTAACAGCGTAAGCATGGCTATATTCTCGCGAATAACTAACAAAAAAGAACTCGACCGCACTCAGAAAATAAGGAAGTCACGATGACTAAAAATGTTTAGGCGAAATGATGAAAGTATGCATTATATAAGTATTAATGAGTAATGACGTAAATTCTAAATTCTTTATATGTAAGCTCAATCTGGCAAGGCTATTCATAAAGAAATTGATCTACAGTAGAGACGTTATTAGCCTCACAGATTTTTAGTAACGTGGCTTCTGCTAAATTAAAGCGTACAAAATATTAGCGTTGCAGTAACAAAGCTAATATTAGAGAACCTAAAATTACAGGGATCTCGCTATTTAACATATTTGACGACACTGCAGCTCCAATGGTACCAGTTCCGATCATTGTAATTCTATCGCGAACGCAAAGAATTTAAATCATAAGTACAAGTAGTACTGAAAACTAAATTAAAATATTTTTTCTTGAATTAGCCATCAAATTTTATTACTCATACAGTCTATCAAATAGAGGAAGATATATCCATATTATAACAATATCCAGCTGTTAAGAGGTTTATGATTATTTCTACTGACCTAGTACTTGATACTGTTACACTATTGCAGGAGATAGTTGCATTATTGGCACAGCTTCCTGCTGAGCATGCTGTTGTTGATGGGAGTGTAGCACAGCAGACTTGATTGAAGTTGGCATACCTAAGAAAAGAAAATCATGGTAATCTAGCAGTAGTCACTACAATAAATCAACCCCCTTGTAGGTGAGTCGCCACATTGAATGCGTAAAGACGCTAGCGTAAAAATTAAAGAAATGATTAATCAACATACACATCTCTCAGATTAGTTGCGTTGATAAATGCATTGGACGAAACGCATATCAGTGGATTTGCATTCAGATTTCTGTAGTTTTAAATATTAAACGCATAAATTGATACTATTAGCATGTAATTTTTACATCACTCATCAATATAAGTCATCGAAAAATAAGCCATAAATTACGCTCCATTCTTATTAAGTTCTCAAACATTAAAATTCTTACATCGTGTTAAGATTTTCTAAACCAGCAAACGTTTTATCATTAATCACGTAAATTTGGTTATAGGATAAATTTCTTATTTTGATTTGATTTGAAATTTTGGTTGGAATTAGTGGTGATCATCAAGAATGTTAAAAATATTCTTAACATATACATAGTACACTAACAAGATTCATCACACAATATCAATATTTTCATCAAGGAAAATCAGTACAATTATTAAAAAGCTGATAAACGCATTATAATAACCTGGTAATTAATCACTTACAGCGTTCGTAACATTTTCATAGATGCGAAAGATCGATCGTCAATATTTCTGATTTGATTATTTTGTAAGTAACTAATATCGATAGTGAAAGATAATCTATTAAATTATTAGCACTACCTTAATACAACAATTGCAATAGGGTTACTAGAACCGATAGAATTCATTATTTCTGAATTTATGTAGGAAACTGTTTAAAATATTCTAAAATCTTTTACTTACAGAGATCCAATGTTGACGGCGTCAGAAAAGGTATCATTTTTGATGGCCATCAAGTTATTGCTATTCAGATATCTGTAATATCGTATAAACGAAAAGATTTGATTTCCATTATAGAAATAGTGAGCGATAACTTAGATCATTACAGTAACAGCATCTATTAATAAAGTAATTTGGTTACAGACGCTGATATGAATGACGATATTTTAATCGTTAACTCACATCGATGTCAAACGTTGCATCGCTCCAAAACTTCGAGCTGCTACTGTGCTAATATTATTATAGTCCAATTTTCTAGGAATAGATATATCTCGAAATATATTATTTATCGGCTTTCACTTTAGAAAAAGTAGAAAGTTAAATTCTTACAATGTAAATAGACCAGATAATTGATGAAAGGTATCGGCAGTAACAGTTTTAATTTTATTGTAAGAGAGAGTTCTATAGGATAAAAATTATTTTATTTTAAATAAGCAGTGGGCTCCAGTCACTCGAGAAGAAATGCTAAGTTCTATTTTTAATGGTGAAATTATTTATATAAAAACGTTTAAATAGCTAAATTAATTAATTAACCAAAATACTGATGTACTATCCGCATGTGATTTTAACCTGATAATTGATACCGTATTCTAGTTTATACAGCAGGCGAATTACTACAGTAGCAACATACAGTTGTGATAGGAAAGTCATTCCAGCAAATGCTTGATTCTCAATCTGTTCTATTTTGTTGTGGCTCATAGTTCTAGAAACATTTAAAATGTTTATTAAGAAATGGATTATAAATTTCACTTTATACAATACGTGATGTAAATAGAATATAAATTCATAGCCTATTACTAAGCTAAAATCTCGACAATGTTGACACTCAAAGCAAATAAACGGTATTTTATTACATCAAGTTTTAAAGCTATAATAAAACATGAGATAGAATGATTAGATTGAGATATGTACTCTCTACTAACAAGTTTTTAGCAAATTAGTAATGTATTAATTATTACTGCAGCCATGTTGTTGAATATCACATTAAACTCATATAAGCCATTATAATTTTTATTAAAATTGAAAGATAAAAAGTATATTAATAGAAATTACTGATAGTGTCAGTAACCTATTTAATTAAAAATTTAATCATGTCATGTGCAGTAATTAAGTATATGTAGTAGTAGTATGCGTTATATTATGATATATACAGTACCTACAAACACGCACGGTTATAAAATTATTACTTACAAAGATCGTATTTTAAGTTGACTAAAATCTGAAGCCTTGATGTATGTAAAATCATTGTGATCCAAGTACCTTTCGTTTGAAAAATTAATAAAAGAAAGTCTTTGGTATTTTTATTATATGAATTAAAAATATCAATCCTTGAGAATATTTATAAAATGTTTTCATAATAGTTCTTATCACAGCAGTCAAAATTAAAAATTCTTGCATAAATTAATAGCAAATACATACAATGCTGACAATCTGTTTAGGTCTTTAAATCCGGTGCCATTAAAGTTAGATAATTTATTTCCATTAAGATAGCTGTTAGAATAAGGATATCGGTCTATTTAGCAAGATTTCAATGGTTATGAGCATCAAGCTGATATGTATCATCGAGTATTCTAAAATTTCGTCTTCAAAGATTCGAAGAATATTGAAATTTCATTATATCTCAAGAACAATATATTGCTTTTCCATCGTTCATTTCAATTAGAAACTACATACGATTTATTACTTCTGAACTGTAGAAAGAGCTACAAATACCACTATCTAATGAATTAAGACGTAATTTAATTTTAAAAATATGTCGGAAAACTTTAGCGATGCTAGTAAATTATCAAGGTGACTTAGCACAACGCGGGAACTAGGCGAGTTATCTCAGGTAATGAAGCTTCCTCGAAAGGAAATGAGTGCAATGGCATATTGGTAAATATGAAATTTGTAATGGCACATTGGTAAATGTGAAATTATATAGTGGCAAATCAGTAATTTTCCCATCTATTTAATCATAGTTAATGTTTAGCAGTCACACGAAAACAAAAACTAGTAAATAATTTTCTTACCAAGTCATGAAAATTTTAAGACCACACTAATTTCTCTAAGTTATTATATGTTACTTACAGTTTTCTTTAAATTAGTCGTGACAATGTTACAAGAAGAGAAACAGAAGCAAGAAATCTAATACTCTAATAGTGTTATTCCTATGCCCTTTCGTAATACGGGTATGTACATCTATAGCAGTAAATTTTTGTCTCGAGTATTTTTATTGACGTGCACTACTTTGACATGGTTGGCTATTATAATTACTTTACTTGATATTGATAAAAAATATAATTTACAGAATCTACAAATTCTGATATTTAATAGACACTATAATTATTATACAATCAGCTCTCAAAGCTACATATAGTCAACATACAGTCCCCTTAAATTGCTTGCGCTCCCCAGTATATTTCTATTAAAGACCATAAGCCTGTTGTAGCTGATATCTCTGTTACATAATATAAAAACAGAAGATAATGCAATTAATAGTTGTATTTTACAAAACATCTTAATTGTTTTTTGATCTGCAACTTTACTACTGACAATAAAATGGAATAGTATTTTTTTCACTTCATTAAGCCTGTAGCAGACTAATATTTCTGATATCGAAGCATAATGACTAACGAAAAAATTATGGTATCAATTTACAGAGTAAATAATCGAGTTAAGCTCCCAAAAGATCCGTCTTGAAGTTGATTCAAAGAATTATTCTTTAGGTACCTATAATTAATCAGATAGATACGATCAATATCGGACGATTACGAAGTCCATCATAGGTTTTAACAATCTATACTTGTTCTATTTTATAAGTTTTACTAATTTTCTGAAATAATAATCGTATTCATATGAAAGTGATAAAAAATGTTGATTCGTACAATATTCACTTTACGTTTTAACGCAATTATGTGTCGATCTATTCTAGATTGTAAATATTTATATGATATTGATATTTGTTTTTATCCGTAAAGGTAATAACTACAGTAAGTGATGAACAAATAAATTATAAAGCCGATTGAGAATCAAAATCAAATAGTATTGCGAATTGCAGCTATTTTCGAAATAATACCAACTAAGGCGCTGATTACTTTAGAAAAATTAAGAAGCATAAACCTAAACAAAAATTAATGCTGTAGTGTGGTGTATTTGAAATTTACTAGTTAAATAATTTAAATTAATAAATTATTATAAAGGAGAGCTAGCTTATATTACAATGATCTTAGCCTAGTGAAAGAAGATAGGCATCCGGGCTCAATTGAGGATAAAAGATTATTATTCACAGACCTAGAGAATGAAGATAAAGTAGATGTATAGGTGGGTATAGTCTTTCTCCTAATACATTCGAAAACGATCAAAGAATTGGCTAGTTAAAAACAGACATAAATTGGTATTACAGCGTTGATAAACTTATTCCAATTCCAGCAAATGTTGCATTCTTTAAAGATGTCAGCATATTGTCGGACAATCGACTAACAAATTATTAAGCGAGAGTCAATTAAAATTCTATAGCAATCTCAGTTCAAAAAGCTGAAAAACTTTATGTAAAGCAAATTTTAGTTTATGCACAGGATGCTTAATCCAACAAGTCCGGTAAAGGCATTGTCGGCAAATGCAGTGATTTGATTCATATCGATATTCCTAATTTAAAATTTAAATTGAATATAGTCGGCTGCATTGGTTGAATGTCATTAGTGGATTATAATGTAATTATAAACAAATCTTTTTAGATAGTTCAATCATTCTCTTATTGCCATTACAGTATCGATAGCTGGCTCAAGGCTTGAAATGTATTGGCTTGAATGGTTTGTAGAGTGTTATTTGTCAATACACTGTTATAAAATTAATATCATGAATTCTATCATAAGAATCCTAATGAAAATTTAACATATCTTCGTTGTTTATTGTAATAAATGATTAAGATTATTCTTCTTGGATTAACTTCTTGCCTAATAGTCATATTAGTTAAATCACAACTTTCTTTCAGGTTGTTAATTTACTGATTTTAATTTATCGTATTATACTGTAAGTTAAATATTCAGTAGCGGTGTGGCTAGCCTTACAGAGTTTGAAGTTTAGTAGTGAAGTTGAAAGCTTTAGTATCCAGGCTAGCAATGACGTTATGACTTAAATCTCTATAATAAAATTATCGATTCAAAAAGTTTTATAAATATCATGTGTTAACGCTTTATAGACCTGAATCAAGAAGTTACCTTTATGAGATTTTTTACGTAAATGTTAGCTTTCTGTATAATTAAAGAACTATGCAGTAATTGTGTTAAATATGAAAATCTTACATCGTGTTAACCATGTTAAGGCCATTAAAAACGCCGTTACCAATTTGACTTAGTCTATTATTAGTGGCAAGGCTAAAACGTAACGGTAGAATTGATAATGCAATAATCAATATTAATTAAATAAATTATTTCTTTGTATCACGGTGATTCATTTTCTGACTTTAGTCACATCTAGGGTAACTGGAATTTATATCGTTTTGCTCCAATTTATTTTATTTCGGTTATAAAGTAGGTCATTTAACTGTTTAGGTAAAGCGTAAACTAAATACCCTAACTCAACTAAAATAAGTCTCCTTTGTACTTAATTTATAGAAAGCATTTTAAATTATCGTCATCTATTGACTTGCTTTCTTACAGTATTTCCAATTTACTTAGACCATTAAAAGCACCCACATCGAAACTGCCCAACATAAGGTTGTTGGAGATGGTTCTGTGAAAGGGAAATAATATTACAACAGAACTCAAGGGTAAATGACCAGTTGACATGAATCTAAAATATCTATATCAAGAATACATACAATTCTGTTATATTGGCAAAGTTGAGGAAGCTATTGGCAGCAATTGTTGTTATAGCCGTGTTTTTCAGATAGCTAATAAAGGAGAAAACAAGTTTTTACACAAAACTCAAGATACTTTACAAACCTTTAATTCAGTTTCATTTAAGAGGTATTTATATATGTAAAATAGATATAAATACAACACATAGCGTTTTAAAATTTTGATTTATGGAAAGGTTATCAGAAATGTAGCTTATAAAATCAAATATAAGACTTTGAATAACCAAGTAGCATTAATTTAGAGTTATAAGACTAAGTATGCATGAAGCAAGACATTATTAGTCTCATCTTAAGAGTGCTAGAATTATAAAAATGCATACCTGATCATCTATCTATTCACTTTAGCCTTACTATCATATTTAATCAATAATCTTTCTTCACTTTATTTAGATTAATGCAGACACATAGATATATTTTTATCAAGTTATTAAATAAATACACTCACAATACTCGAGCACCAGCCACAATATCTGATCCAGTTGGCATTTGGGTAATATTTGGTCCAGTACAGGAGATTGTATGGGAATTAGGACATGAGCACTGGGTAGGACATTGTCCCCATGCTAAATAATACAAGATAATAGATGATTTACGTGCTCATTTGTAAAATGTATTTTTCGTACATAATCTCATGTTATGCCGGGTACTTTAACCAAGAAGTTACCAATAATGTAATTTTCTAATCGTTATCAGGATATAAACTGTTAAATCTTACTAATAGAATTTTATGTACATGGTACACGTATACGGTATACGTAATATATTAAGGATAAGGTAGATAACGATACATTTATATAGCTATTAAAAATAGATTATTAACGAATATATGCAACCGGCCAAATGGGTGCATACGTTATTTTTCACATGTTTATAGCGGATTTCATATTAATCCCCAAATTTTCGTTTAAATGAAGTTCATGATGGTAACGAATATTTAGAGGTGATGTTAGAAGTAAGCCAACAAGTGAGATATACTGTAATTGTATATTGCAGCTCAAATGAGGGAGTACTCATAAAGATGGTGTGCTGATACCGCTCTTAGTGTCTATATGTTTTTAGCTTTTAGTAATATTCCTTATTTCAAAGAAGCGAGATACTAAAATAAAAATCTTGTCAAACAATTTCGGATGGTTTAAAACAAATATTCTTAATTTCTTTTTACTGTGTAAAAATAGTGGATAGATAATTCAATAGAGTGAAGAGAAATGGCGACTTCGAACGATGAAATCTGTACATAAACTGGTTGTTCCCGTGGTCATTATAATGATGATCATTGTTATGACATAGTTATTGTGGAGAAGTAATGATTTCTGATTCTTTAACTTCTCACTAATTAAATCATTTATCTATCAGGCGAAAGCAATATTAACAGCAAGACGAAGTTCGCTATATAGTTTACGAATAAATTGTTACTTTTTTATTGGTAATAGACTCTCTGATGATCTAATTGCATTATAAAAAGGATACTTATCTGTGATTATTGATGCTGTTGAATAAAGCCTGAAATTGTAAGCATTTAGTTGTAATATGATAAGGCTTTTTTTAATCTATCTTTACCTGTCAAAGAGTATATTACCAGGAGGAAAATATAAAATTTGGGGATCATTTTGAGCTCGTAAAACTGGTGATGAAATGGTGAAAAGTAGTTTTTTGCACGAATAGGGGAGATTTTGTGCTGTGGCTAGCAATGTATTGTTACAGCGATTTATGAAGTAATGAACTAATCGGTTAATGATAAACTGTAAATGGGATTTATTAATCTAACATAAAATCAAAATAAAGTAAATAGTGATTTTTCCTTTTCATCGTAATAGTTTTTTGAATAGTCTATTGTGTAATGCGCTATTAGGCGCCATCTTGCTGAGAAGAAGGTAGACAATCACGCGTCTTGAAAATTATTCGACGTTGTCTGGGGCTTGTTTTGAAGTGAAACGTTATCAATGGAATATAGCCTTAGGCATAAATGATTTCAAGTATTTTACTTAATCTTCTATGCAATCTGCCTTAAGTTTATAACAACTTTCTGTGTATCGTACGATACGTTATTATGGTTAGAAATAGATGATAGTGTTGCGGATGGTTGTTTATAACCATTGATACAGTTTTGCTGAAATTGTCCTCTTATCACGCGTAAAGCGTTGTCAATGTTTTCAAAATCTACTATAGTTTACTAATTGTAAAATTATATTGATTAAGCTTTAGAGAATCTGAATAGGATTGTTTCTTCTATAGTAACTTAGATTGCACAATAAAAGTACAATAAGTTGTTGCTCTATTTAGCAAACAACGATAGAATCACGTATTCTCGGTAAATTGAGCGCAGAGATAATTGGTTATACTGCAGGCGGTCAACAATCGCGATAAAAATGACTCCAAAGTTTAAATTAAAATTGCGTATTAAATACATATCTGAATAATATATGATTAATTAAGCAATTATGGGTAATTCCTTGATGTTTTATGGTCAGATTTTGTTTAATTGAATTCTATAATTGCGAAATCAAAATCAAGATAAAGAATAACAAAAGTTTTGAAATGTTCGTTGTTAGCGTTTGCTTAATATTTTCATCTGTGTTAGTAAAGTTAATAAATTTAAAGTTGTTCAAATTGATACTAGCCATAGTCTAATTCGTTCACTGATAGACGTTTCAGATCAATATTGATGCTAATGTTCTTTAGAATGTTCAACATAATTGATACACACTGTACAGTATATATAGAATTAGACAGGCTGCTTTGCAGTTTACGATGTAAGGCGTCTGGCATAAGCTTAAGAATTGCCATGTATATTATTTCATTATACTATATACTATTCGTGGCGTGACAACGAATTCAACTATTTATAGCAGTGGGGGATTGCATTAATTATTCATGGTTAACGTACGTTAAGATCATTTACATGCTACAACTACTTGGATAATAATAGTGCCGTGTGCATGTAACTACTGTATAAGCAGGAGTCTTTTATTAAAACATTTAGTAAATTATAATTATCATTCGTAGTCGGTCTTGATTACTATAAATGAAATTTTGTATGGATATAATGGGGAATGGAGGAGAATACGGTAAGCAGAGGTTCATATTTATAAAACGAAATGCTGCTACTAAACATGCTTATTGCTTATTTACAGATTTTCTATGTACGTTTACTAATCAGAACGCCTGCATCTTCTTGTATTTACAGTATATCGTTATAGCGACTATTAAAAAAAAAGTGATATGACATAACATCAAGTATTGATAGGAGCGCTATTATCACAGTTAGAAAATTTCCACAGACAGGATTTATTGTAATATTCGAAATATAATTAGAAATTAGGAGAATGATATGTAAATGATAGCATTATCAAAGTAAGACGGCAACGAGATTAATTCGATTGTAGCTTAACAACATAAAAAGTAAAACTACTTACACCTGTTTTGCAGATTGAGACCTGTACTGAGATTGCTATCGTAACATTTTATATATGTAAACAAGACATAGCTGTTTAATTGCTGTTGAAGAGGTAGAATGGAAAGGTGCGATGTAAAAAATTTGCGTAAAATAATCTTTAGAAGTCACTTCTGATTTCAAATCTTGATTATTTAAAGTATCATAAAAAATGCCGTTACCCCACATAATGAACGTGCATTGTCTTACAGACGGGATTAAGCTTTTCTTTACAATATCGTTGCATCAATAATAATTCGCTCAATAATATAAATATTCATTTTTTCTATGCTTAGTAAAAACTATTAGGCATTATTACTGTTATTTTTAAATTGTGTTACTAATACTGTTATCGGTTTGAATTTTTCGACTGGAAGGCTGCAAAATGGATAGAAAAATGATCCAGTTAGGCATAGATTTTACATAACCCTTCAGAATTATAATATTGATAAGGGAAGGGAGTACCAGTGTATTATTATTCAAATTATTACCTTAACCAGAACTTGCGCAGCAATTGTGGCTTTGCCTAAAGAATCGTTGCTTTGATATCTTGGTAGATTTAACTTGAGGCGAGGTAAAGTTACGTAGCCCGTCGTTAGAGGATACATTACGTACCTAAGTGCGTGGATATCAGAAGGTAGAATTCGAAGGTTGACCTAGAAGTGACAGTACGTACACGTAGTCGAATTAATGATGAAAGTACGTTTAGAATGAACATGGTTACTTCAAATTACGTGCTTTACCTGTTTTAGTCCGGTAAACATGAAAGATTCACATGGATCAATGTTTATTTCTACTTCTTGCACCAGATTAGTTCTATTATGAAGTTCGTAAGTTACGGGTAGAGCTGTCCTCAAACAACCATAAGCTGGTTTATCTTGGAAGATCAGTATAGAATTAGGTTATATACATTACTGAGAAATATTTTATTTAATTACTTCAGTAATAGAAATTTAATCGTTATTTCAGTAATTACTGTAGTAGATATCATGAATTGATTATACCTATAACAATATATATTGGGGACGTATCAATTAGGACAGTAGGTAGTGTAATGTCAGTTTCAACTTCAGGTTGCTGATATTCTTGTTTACTCCTTATTACGAAAATATTCTGGGGTCAGCAAAAGTAATATTAACGACCGCAATTAAATTCTCAACTATACCTTTTCCAATTAATACGTAATTTTCCAATGTTTAATTTTGACTTTTCTATTGATCCCTTATATTTTATAGCGAAGCATTCCCTAGCTTCTTCACTCTTTTGTAGTGAAACTAAAATGTAACAGTTGTCATTGTAGTATTACTTACAAAGTTGCTTGCTATGAAATTATAAGAATTTTATAGGACCTCAGTTGCTAGTACGCACCGTTGGATAGTTGTGACTGTGTATCAGTATCAACAGATTCGAATTGGTTGATTAGGTTGAAAGTAGAGTTAAGGATGGTAATAGGCCAAGGTGAAACGCTCTTTAAGCAGGCCATAATGAAATATGGTTCATTGGCACATAACGCATCAACTTTAGTTAACTGAATTCAAAAATTTAAGATAAATTTAGTATCCAAAAATTAATAGTTTAAATGTCGATCATTTTAGTTGGTCCTACCTCCGTTGTTACCGTGTTGATTACCGTCTCAAAAGGGATGGCCGTTTCAATCGTTACACTATCAGTCTATGTAAAATTAAACAGAAGTGGCTATAGGTAAATATGTTATCGGATACACAATCAGTAGCATATTACAGTATACAATAAATTACTGATCGTGACCTGTTTACATTTACATTCAGTAACTTTGCCGTCAACTTCAATATTAATTTTGTAGGTAATCTATTACACATAAGTTAATTCATTGGTCAATACGCTAACCGGTGATAAAGCGAAGGCGATATTCAGTGTACTATAGAACAACTGTAAATAATGTAACTTACCTTGACTGAAATAACCCTCTGTCCATTACTTTGGCATTTAACGAACAGCAATTTTGATACCTAGCAATACCCAATCATATATAAGAATAAAGTAGAAACGTCGCAATTATCTCTTCATCGATTAGATATGAATTATTGTAATTTTAATCACAATTATCTATTTTTTGCGTACCTTTTCTCCTGATGCAATGTTATTAATATGAATATCTTTAACTGATTTCGAATGTGTTGAGCTATCTGATATGTTATCTATACAAAGCCATGCTGTAAATGCAAGGCATAAATCACACTTAATAAATCGCTCAACAGCAAAAAAATTAAACTGTTGTCTTACTATTTGGCGGTTGAGATCCATCCTGGTTCTGAGAAAATCCAATCGCAAGGCTAATGAAGTAAAATCAGAGCGTACCCATATAATTAGTTTTAAATTTCCAATACATCGAGCAAATTTTTTATCAAATTTATTGCTCTTAGATTTGTATAAAATACAGTCAATGACAACTGACCTAACATCCGAAATTTCTGCCTTTTCATCATTTTGAATCAATAGTTTAACTGAATAATATTCATTCACTAAAGCAGGAGGTTCATGCTGCAATTTTAGATCAATTAACGGTTTCCTAGAAGTAAGCCTGAAGAACAAATAGAAACCAAAAGGACTTAATGAGAATTAGTTTAACAATGATTTAAATAGAATTAGTCAAACTATACTTGGTGGCAGGCTTTGCTTGAATCTGATCAAAAGACAAAACCTCCGGATGATTAGTAACATTTGACAGTAAAGTTGGAGTGGGGGTAGTAAGAGCTGAGCTACTGGTATTCCAAGTCATGACAATATTATAGGATTTTTCGTCCCCAAGTTGTAAAGAAGCAGTCTGACACTATGCGTCAATAAGATAAGCGTATATTTATAACCTGATAAGAGTAAAGTGCATTATGTTAATTTTACACTCACCTCTAATGACTCACCAACATCTTCAGAGCGAGCAACAAATTTAAACGTAACGCATTTCAACTGATTTGGAATCAGTAATAGACTTTCCTCGTTATCAGTATCTTTATTTATTATACTACATACATTATTGTATTCCTATAAAGTCAAAACACTTCGTTATTTGCACCACCATATTGATAATGATATGTTATTAACATGCGGATTTTTATACCTCAATATTGAATTTCAGCGACAATCTGTGAAAGCGTATTGGCAGAGGAGAAGAAGACCTAGCCAGAAGATTTTACAATTAAAATTTAAAAATCATGTACGTTAAGTTTTGCTATGTATGGGAATTTATCAAAAAGCATAGAATTACCTCAAGTATACATTGATGATAATAGGAACATCTGCCGTGAATGAAGAAGTCCCGAAGCTAACTTTGCATTCCACTAATATGTAACGTAAAATTATTGAGAAGACGATGTTCAAAAATGAGCTACATCAGTGTTACTCATCCTTATTAGTTTTTTAAATTTGATCATTGGTTATTGCGTTGAGGGATAGAATTAATAAGAATTTTAGTTACACCATTTACCAAATGATGCTAATTGAGAGATGTCGATGTCGAAAGCTGGCATAGGAGCCATAATCATAGCAAATTTTTGTATCCAGAGTTTAGATGCTTCCTCAACCGACACTGCACTTAAATCACTCTCAGGATCAGGCTGTTTTCCCTAATGATAGTAATATCTCAAATTCTAGATACTTCGTTACATTAAAGTCTATAGTTATTATAAGGTCATTATTACCTGGATGATGTTAAGAAGATTTTTTTGAATTCGAGATTTACTGTTGATATCACTAGTAGAATCTGACATGAAAAGAAACTGTTATTGTTATAGATGCTGAAACATTGAAATAGAAAGACTTTAATAGTTAACGTAATAGCCATCACAATCGGCTAAATAGAGGTTTACTTACGTTTTGATATCATTTCAACACAAACAGTGACATAGTTTTGTACATCAGAGAGGAGATATGCACATCTACCATGTGATAGACAATACAGTATTAACTAGCAGCTAGTTTAGAAGTTAACGTCTCTTCGCTTAATAAAACACATGCAGAGTTAAGTCACGAACTAACTTTAACCATAAATTTAGAACGGCAGTTAATAGATCCCACCATTTCTCACTACGATAATCCGGAGCTACGCGATCAAGCAATCTGATAATACCAAGATATAGCATACTCACTAAATAACAGATTAATATTTAGAACTGATAAAATTTTACTTACGCCAAAGCTTTGACATAATCCTTGGCATGATAGTATTCTTCTGCCATTTTAATCACTAATATTGAACAGTATGACAAAAAAGCTATCAAGAACATAAAGTTGTAAAAATGCGTACGTGAAGAATTCGTGGAGTAGCTATCTGTATACGAAACTAAATATTTACTAAGATGTCTTCTCATTCGACTGGACTTGTACTTCTTGAATTGACTAACTGCTTTACTAAATAACTGAATTATGATATAGGAATGATCAACTTTTAGTTCCTCAGTTTGAACTGCCAATATACCAGCTTTCTCGAAATCTGCATCAGAGGCTTCCGCTATGAGATTTAAATTAATTTTAACATCTTTTAACGATTTAATCTAAATTCTATATTTAAGTATTGTCATTGACTCATACTATGATATCCCTGATTCCATACTCTTTGCCCATAATAATTTACATATTTAGTAGTTTCAGATGTATTTTGCACAGGGAACATTGCAGCCGCCTATTAAATTAGTATTCCATTTTGCATTAGGTTGATTCGAATGCACTAAATACGATTGCGTATGCTACTGTAATAGTCTAATTTTACCTGGCATAGATCGTAACATAATTGCTTCCTGAATATAGCACAACAGGCGGCGTATTGGTAATAAAAACCTGGATGTTGAGTCTGGAAAGTAGGTATACGTATAAATATCATTGTATCCCATGCTTTGTGAAATATACGTGATCAAAATGGTACGAAAACTTCATTAGTCTAGCCATTACTAACTTGGATGGCATCTAAACCATTTTTAACAGCTTCATCAAAGAGGTCGCCAAATATACTATACCTATATTATAGTATTAAAAATTTTTATACAGAGACAGTAAAACATGATTTATTGGAATATTATCTTACTGGTGCGATATCCAGGCAGCATCAATGAATGCTAGTTCTGCATAGCCACTCTTTTTCTTAAAGTAATCTACGTGGCTACGAAATTGTGCGATAGCGTCTACTGGGCTACCATCCAAAAAGCATAATCTACAAATCTTATCGTAGAGGGTATAATAGATTAAATTATACTAATACAGAGAGTCTAACTATAATATGGATTCAATTTCATAAAATTTAATTCAATGGTATTTATACCTTGTAATTAAAAAAACTAGCACACAGTTTGGTTTCCAACATGTTCCGGTAATTGGGTTCGAGCTCTTTTAAGTTGCTATAAGCCAGTTTATAATGTCTGTAGAAATGAAATGTATCCGCTTTACCATTTAAGCTAACTCGTTTATGTCAAATATTGCAATAGCCTCTTAGATTTTATACAATTTCGTAGTGACCATTGTCAGCTCAAATTACTTTAATGCGGATGTTCGATCTTGCCTAAGCTCGCAGAAGAACGCAATCTTAAATTGATGACGCACGATTAAAACCTACGAAATATTTATAATTCTGTCAAATAACCACTTAAAGGTAACTTTATCTCGTATCAGTTACGGTTAATAAAGCATTATCCAAATGTCTATTAAACGTGCTGGTAGTCTAATGGCTATCTTCTTTACATACTTCGTGTTTTTGCTTGTTTAATAATTCCTAATAATTTAAACATTTATAAATATTAGATTTTTAGTTGTTCAATCATCATCAAGTGTAAGAATTATTTTATCACAGCAAGTTATATACCTTGCGTGATTTAACTCGACGACATTCACCATGGTAATAAGCTTGTGATAACTCATAATATGCATTTTCCAGTCTATCAATATGGTTCGGGAGTTACAGGTAAAAGAAGGAATTGGTATAGTGAAATTTAAAAATTCAATTAAGGCACGCTACAATATTGATAAACCTAATAATATAGCCGTATAGGTGATCTGGGTTATGTGGTAAAACGAATAAAGATTTGGAGGATAATTCACAAGCAGTGCACAGGGTAGCAGCCCTTTCAGCAGCGACCATGTCTTCACCTGATTCAGGAATATAATATATCTTAGTTAGTAAATAAGAGAGCTAGTTTTGATTATTGACTCATCATTACCATCAACAAAATGTGAACTGCTAAACTATAAACCTATGACAATTCTAAGATACCGGGAGGTAATGGCGCAGCAGTTTGAATGAGGACGACAGCAATTTTTGTATTTCGACCCTGTAAGCTTGACCTATTATAGTTGTAGCAAGATTATATATTAATAGACAAGTAAACTTGTATAGAGTAGTTATAAGATTGTATATACATGGACAGCCAACATGAAGAAGAGCAGACCTCGCAATTTCTACACGGGATACACATTCAACTTGTTTCTCTTTCCATTGGGGATCATTCCAGTCTAAGTCGTAGAATATCACAAGGACAGAAGGAATTTCGTTGATATGTTTCTGCATCCAGTCCATTTTAATAATACCTTTTGGGATATACCATTCATATGTCGATCTCTGAATTATTAAAATCAAGGTCAGCTTCTAAAGAAATATACTGCACGTATTTTAATTAATTAATATTAACTTACAGGATACAATTACTGCTGGCAGAGACAAACATACAGTCACAACGCTACTTAACTTAATCTAGTTTCTCATGTATAGCGAATGTAACATACAACGAGATTCAAATAAATATATGGCACTTTAGGTATGGGGCTTAGTGCTGTGCATTAAAGCGTAGACTTCTGGAACCTGAAGTTCTAGAGGATCTAGAGGTCCATGATTAAAAGTTGCAGATTTACTGCTGGATACGCTCGCAAGTCGCAAGTAATAATCTGTAATTGTAGCTCTTCTCCAATAATTGAATAATATTTTGAATGAAGTTATTACGATATTGACGTCGATTATAATTATCGATCACCTACAATATTCACTATATTATGCAGCTTTTAAAATTATTCGTGCTGTGTAAAAGAAGGTAAAGTACGGCATTAAACTTAGGCTAATGGAAGAATGTTATCGGTATTCTTTCAATCGTCTATGGTTTCAATAGTTAGGTTAGGCGTAAGAGCAAGTGAGTTATTTACGTGATATGATGAAAGATCACGGAAACTATGCCAATTTTGGCACCAATCTAGTCAAAACTGTTATTATACAGTGTAAATAGATAACAGATATGCGGAAAATTAGTTTTACAGACACTTTACAAACACTGTGTACGCACATTCGCAACCGCAAGTCTAGCCGATCACAAGTTATCTTACACCGCATCAAGTAACAGTAAAATTAAGAAACTTTTGTACCTTGGATTTCGGCTTTCGATACTCGTAATCTCCGCTAAGCAGATTGAAATGTAATGGTACTCTATCTGGTCGTCTATTGACTGTAAAGGAATCCCAGATAGATCTATGGATAGCATTGTACTTAATATCGAGCCCCGTTAAGGCAATAAATCCTAGCGGTTGTGATGTAAAGTCTTCAGGTAGCTGCATAAGGCCGTCCATCTTGGTAAGAATCGATCGTATCAATAAGCATGCGTAACTAAACTCTACGACTTTCAGATTTGGTAGCGTCATCGAGATCGTAGAGATCTACTGTACAGTATGCGAGAGTCCGAACTACTGTAAAATACAGTATAGTACTGTACTGTTGTACTGTAGACTTTAGTGTTCTGATACAGTACTGTGCTGTACAACAATAGCATGAAATCAGTTAGTGAACCTTAACTAATAGCAGTACTTATTACGATTATACTGTACTGTACAGTACAGTACCATAAGGATCGACGATGTCGCTGCTCCTAGTTAAATGTTTGAGTGTTCAAGAATGTGGTTGGTGTTGCTAAATTGTTCGCTGAATAAGGTATACAGTATACTATAGATTGGAATACAGTAGTTAGTATGCCGTATATGTACAGTATGCTAGAATTGGAATGTACTGTACTGTATTTAATGTTGAATTCTTGTTAGATGTGCAGAATATATGAATCTGCGTGCATCGGCGATCAGCTTGTTACTTGATTTGTTATGACTGTTTTGTTGGAGGACTAAACGAATTCTAACTATTGTATACAGTACAGTGTACAGTATATAGTATAGTAAATTATAATTATTACAAAATTTTATGCAACTTTGGCTGTGACTATTTCATCTTGAGGATCAAAGGCGAACATTGGATGTAGAAACTTGAGGTAATTGATGATTCTATGCTAGAGCAAAATATATTTGACATTGTAAAATTATTTAACATATAGTACATACAGTATTTACATTTACATATATTTTTGTCTACCCGACACCAAGACAGACTGGACCATTATTTTAAGTAACGTAGATATCAATATACTATAAGTACACAAGATCGTACTACCATATACGATACTGTACGAATCATGATTCATGGGCTTGCACAAATACCGAAAACATTGTTCAGCGGATTGCGTGACAACAAATACTAAATGCAATGTTCAGTATTTGATTTATTAACTACTGTATATGCCTTGCACTTACTGACTCATACGTGAGTAAGAAAAATTGTACACTCTAGACGTATACGCGTATGAGCATGATGCAAATCTAGAAATGAAACTCTCACGAACCTGGAGTTCTAAAAATACAGTACAATATTATCAACAACATACGGTAATGGTGACCCTATAGCTATTAGTTATGACTGTGATAACTATAATTATGACGAGGTGTACCGAACTACCGATTTCAGTTGTAGTAAAGGTAACTAATAGTTATGTTAGTATACCCCAGCGCTTGGGACTGGTGACGTGAAACGTACATTCTCGATATCGTATTAGAGAACTTAGGGTATGATTTAATTTGCGACTCTTATTAGCTAGATATTGGAACGGAAGTGATTTAGGTATAAATCAAATCAAATCTAGATATATCGAAGTTTGTGGTATACAGTGTATGATCATATAGACAGTGGTCGTATGCCGACGAAGCAACAACACGGAAGAATTCTTATCATTGTCTATTTTAGAGATTACGATGTACTGCATAGCTACTACTTGCTAATTATTGTACTATACAATCTGGGCAGCAGGTGTTATACTGTATGGATGCTAGCATTAGTTAGTACAGGGACTTCTCGTTCGTCATTCATCAATAAGAGAAGTCCCTGGTAAGTAACACATGTACATACAATATACGCGTACAGTACGGATCGTATGAATGGATGTCCAATACACCAGTACAGCATAGCACTCATGCTATTATACACAATAAACCCTCAATATTACTGAACTGTATGTAGTATTAAAGGAGAAATATAGAAACTTTCGCGATATATGAAATGCGAGTTAAAGGCACTCAGTACTTACTGAGTACAATCTCTATCGTAAGCGAAACAGTACATAACCCACGCAATGGGAATAAGTTCAAAGTGGCTCGTTGGTTGATTAGATATCTACTTTGTATTAGTTTCACGTCCATAATAAAATGTAATAAAATCTAAAATCTAATCTAACATAACACAGAAAGTACTGTATACTATTATTCACTTTAAAAATTAACTGTGTACATTCGCTTTCTCTCTTTATCGTTATGCCATAATTCTAGTCTATTTACCGCTTCTTGTGCATTTGAACTGTGGAACCTCTACTTTTAATTACGTTCTGGTCTAATCTGCCTATTCTTACAGTAAAACGTAAGGAATTTACGGATATATATTCGCGTTTATACGAGTATAGTATTTCGTATATGTTGTATAAATGACATAAAGCGCGTGGCTAACGTGTTTTACTTAGTATACGCTCTCTAACGTCAGGAATGAAAAAATGTCGATTACCAAGAGTGCTATTGCATATGCGTCGACGACCTTGGCTGCGTCCATGATGAACTCTATCTTTCAGTTCTATTACATCAAATTATTTCTCAATGGCTACAGGTAGATTATAGTGCTTCTTGTATTAATTTCAGTCTATCTATTCATGTAATAAGTAACTTGAATATTTATTATTATGTTTATAACTTAGCTCTACTATGGCATATAATGACTTGTCATTAGATCTTATTTAATAGGATATCCATTGAAAAGTAGTATGTTATCTTTTTCTGCTATTGATACTACTAAAATACATTACGTGAAGCTCTATGTAATCTATTTTAGCAATAGCATATGCATAGATAGATTTAAGAATTTCTGGAACTGATAAGTAACGTTAGGTGGAGCTGTAGTTTCATATTTGCTAGCAATCTTTAAAGCTGTTAGTCCATCAGAATTTTTTCCAAGTTATAATTCATTGATTGACGTTAACTTTACTGTCAATTATTATTAAGCACATAAATGTAACGGGCAATTAAGTCAGAGCCACAATAAGATTAAAGTACCCATAAGATGCCGCTTGAGATCTTGCTTGTATTAACTTGGAGTTTAGCGTCCGCTTCTTTTTCAGAAGGATTTTCATTTGATAATGTTTCTGACACCATCTTTAATCGTTTTCTTGTAAATCATTTGCCCTTTAGAATTAATAATACCTGGTTTTATCGCGCTCAGCTCATTTACTTGGTGTGGAATGCAATTAATGATCCATTATTTGGCTATTTACAAGTAAGAATAACCTTACTAAGTAAAATTGAGTTAGTGAAATTGATTTTATATTATAATTTTGTAAGTGGTTATAATACTATAAGATACAAAAGGACATAACTTACAGTTAAATGGAAATCGGTGATTCGCAATTATAAATGGATTTCCATCTTAAGCATGCACAGTATTTTGTTGCAAGTCAAAAGTTCTGCTTTATTACTCAGGATAGTTCCAAAGTTGCCTTCTCACGCCGCCGCAGGACTGCAATTTTATATGGAGCTCCCATATTTGCGTTAAGGTCTGCACTACTTAGGAAATTAGCACCCTTATAGTGTTTGTGATAGACCGTTAATGATAATGATGAACTTTCTCCTGTTATAGAGGCAATAGCCTTGTTATGTTCTAATTGATATTTCAATGTTTTGAATTACCTGTAAATTTATAGCTTTTTAATTCCTTGGATACCTTGGACGGCCTTTGGTGACAGCGATTGGGTAGTTGGAATGCATTTGATTACCTCTCTCTGTTTTTACGATGGCATGTTTACGTATGGTAATGTTATACTGTATAAACTTAGAAATACGTGTCGTATATGTACAGTATAAGGCACACATGTATAACATTCACACACCTCTGGTGAATTGATTTGAATGTATTGTATGTCTTCTTAACAGTTCTCTTAGCACAATGTGCTTTGTTTGCTGAAATCGCTACCAAGGAATCTGACAGACAAACAGTCCTTAAATACAGGTAATTAATGTTTAACTCTCACTTTTCACACCAATATAGATAATTTATCATTATTTAGGTCTATTCGTTCGAAGTTTGCTAAAGATTAACTATCTTTGTTATACTATTGCACTTCAGCCAAATAGCATCAATAATTGGATCTAGCGCCGTTTTATTTACTGAACTTATATCTCAAAATGTATGTCTTTGCGATTACTTTCTTTCAAATAAAAAGTAATAATTTTACGTCTACAGTAGTAGTCAGCTGTTATATTGACTAACTTACGATATCTGAATTCGTAATTTCGAATGCTATACTGTACAAGTGTACATTGATAAGAGGAACAATGCAATCAGGTTCTAGGCTTTGCTTGGATCTGAAATTGTAGCAAAATGAATTATTTTGATTTACTGAATAGATTTTTTATTACTAGTTGAAATATTTTAGATATTTCCAAATCTGTTGTGTTGTTATTGCGAGTATCAGCTACTTTGCAATGACATACACAGCAAGATATGCGATTAATATTTCTGATGCAGAAAGCTCTAACTCCGTCCTGATTGATAGCGGTAAGAGCTTATTAGTACTGCGAAGTTGAATATAAACTTGAAAATTAGATCCATATAGTGTCTTCATATTTTGTTACAATGATGCTACCTTTCTATGAAATATTAGGCGAAGATGACAATCCGTTATCAGATATTACATTGTACACCTTGTTTAAGCAAATTACAACCAACAAGCAGTTTGGTAAATTTATTATTCTATTTGATATACAATACAATTTTTTAAGAAAGATGCCGCTTTTGTGTACTAATTCTTTTGTAAAAATAATGTTCTGATCTTCAATGTTTTACTCTATAATGATAGCCTTATTCGTATTGATGAATTTTTTACAGGTAAGAGCTTAAAGCTCTCAAGAAAATTACTTTCAATTGAGATTATATTGATTAGTTTTATAGCAATTAGAGAAATTATACCAACAGAACATATATATATTATGTTTATATTTATATTTAAGTTTATTTACATTATTACCATTTTGTATCAACCTAGATTTTTCATAATACTATTGGCAGTAATTTCTTTTCAATTTTCGCGGACAACTTGATTGGTTCGTCTTTACTTCCCGTAAGTGTAATGAATTACTGCGCAAATCTTGTTAAATTATTAACCTAAAAACATATTTAATATCTTAATAGCAAGCAAGGAGCATTATGGCTGGTTCTGCCTTCGTTTTACCTCAGGTGCCTTAGTAATCTTACCATAAGGAAGCTATTATAAGTTTATGTCAGTTAAGGTTATATTAATTCTCGGATAAGATACTGGTTCTTTTGTTTTCCCCATTGCTGGCAAGATTCGGATCATACCGTTGCATAATGGTTTCGTTTTTCATCAAGGTAAATTTGTTGAAGAAATATACTCAACTTTACCTCAAGAAATCTGCTTATATGCTACTGTATTAACTCTCATGTTCTTTCGCTTGTACACTTAGTTCGCACTGGCACTAGCAATGTTTTTAAGTGGTCCTAGTAATATGATATTTTTAATATTCTTTATGGTATTGGATAGGTATGTACTGTACTGTATAAAAAGAATTGTCTTACCAAACTTGTTTCAATATGTAATTGATTTTAATTTTGATCTGTAGGAGTTTACCAGAAGCCACATTTTCTTTATTCAATTTATCCGTCTCGGATATCATTGATGATGACAGGGCTAAATATAAGAGAAGGTATAATAATTGCAATACATCCATGTAAATAACTTGTCCTATAGTAGTGCTTCACTATAATTTCATGGCAAATTGTTAACCATGGTGAAATTAAAATTTTAAAATTTTGTAAGGGCTCCAATCTCCTCTATGATTTTTGGTACCAATGCTCTCTTTACTAAGCCTGCCCAATCATTAGCTCCCATGTTTGTAGTTAGTTTTCTAACCGGCTATGGTTACCAGGTTCGTTATCTTACTTAAATTTCAAAAGTAGTAGTACAATGCAAATATATTTTAATTCAATTTTATTGCATGAAATTCTTTTCGGTGATTGCCCTGGTAGCACGGAAGTCAAGGTTGTAATAAAGCATTATTAATATTTAGATAAGTTCTATAGGATTGTTTTTAAGAAAACTATCGTCGACTAATATATTCTGAAATCTATAGAATTACAAATTTTATCTTACAAAGAATTTTATGACTTTTAGCAGTGACTATTCCCGCTAAACCGGAATTAAGACAAGCCATGTTCAGCATGATTTGTTTGGTCCCTATCGTAGCATCTGTTATACAGATTTTGATCTGGTCCTTCTATTCTTTAAGAGGGCAACGTGTCAAGAATCACGGTTTTTTTGGCGCGTCCGTTTAATGATGAACGGATTTGTTGTAATTGTCTAATTTACTACACGACTTTTGTGCTGTCCTTGACGAAATGAACAGGTTTTGAGTCTTTACTATGTATGATCAACAATTGGAAGTAATATCGCTCCTAAATAGTATATTTTGACTGATAAGTAGTAGTAAGTACGTCTGGAGAAGTGCTATTGTAGTCTTTGATTTTACTCCTACCTGTTTTTACTGGATATTTATAATATTACCATCTATAGTATTAACCTAATATTGGTATGGAGTACATATAATAACATGGTTACTTATATATTTAGAGATTCTTGGGAGTCCCTAGTATAACCCGCACGAAGTACAATTAGGGTTGCGATGAACAATTGTAATAAAAATTATTCAAAGTTACAAATATCGAACATCATACATTATATGATGTACAGTGTATCAATAACATATTTAAATATCATTGCTAAGGATCATATCCAAAACCTGATGGCAGTAGTTCAAAAATTAGTAATGAAAGGTAGTTGAGGCTATATTGGAAAGATCATTTTATTTACGTGTATAGTTTTTGTACAGATACCTACAAGAGTATTTAGGGGCTAATATTCAGTTGCTGTATAGGAAATTGTATGCTAAGTCATGTGCTTCATTATCATAATAATGATAAGCTACTAATATTGTTTTATGGACAATGATTCAACTCGGAAGGGAAATAAATGATATAGAGTGAAAATATAATTGTATGCGGTATTCTGTGTCGTGATTTAGCAAAATAACTTAAGATAATTACATTATTGCCTGTGAACTGATTAAGAATAATGATTCTTTTAATACATTGGTTAAAATCTATCTACGTAATTTTCTGCGAAAAGTTCATTAAAATTGAATACGTATTAGAATACGATATAGCATATTTGTGGTATCAATTGGTACTGTTTGACTGATTATAACTTTTCTTAGGACAAGCTTTATGTTAGTACATGTCTTAAGAAGAAAGTGTTGACTAGAGAGTGTATAATGCATATAAACGCATATTTATACCGTATGAGTATTTTGTAATGGTTACTGTAACCAACTACCATTATGAGTATTTACGACATCATCGAACCCTGAATTATTGGATATGTCAGAAACTTCCGGACTACGAGCGACATTCTTAAATTTATCGATGAGCTTTTCGTTAAAAAATTTTTTCATAGCGTCATTATCCTCTTGTTGCAATCGACGTCTTTTGATTTCAATTTGATCATCATCGGCACTGTTTAATTGTTTAAGATAGGAAGTAAACTATTTAGAAGTTTTAAAGCCATTATATCAGTTAACAGAATCTGTTTCATCCCGGGAAAACAACATCTTACCTCGTTTTACGCAAACTTGCCAAAGCAGATCCATCCTTAATTACAGACATTATAGAATCGTGCAAAGAAGTCTCGTCGACACTAGGACATTTCTTATTTGCTTCTAAATTCGTAGATTCAATAGAAGAGGTATTTTTGGTTGATTCTGTTGTAAATCTGTTTAAAAAGATTAAAGTTGAAAAAAATTAAATTTATTTACTCTACAGTAAATAGTATATAACGTAATCCCAATCAAAATATAAATACAACTAGGAAATTTTACTCATTTTTCTTGTCCAACTCAGATTGATTGCCAAGTTTCTTTATTTACAAATAAAATAAAATTTAGCAATCGTTAGGCTTTTTAAATTTTTTACAGTAACCTACAAGCGATAAGGTTTCAAACTGATTCATGTAAATAGTATAAATGGAAGTGCTTGCTTCTATGGGAGGTGCAGATATTCTAGTAAATTCATTTACCTTTTCGGGATTACGTGTATTTCCATCAGTGCTACTCATAATGGGTGCGCTGGGCAATGGTGGTGGTGGTGGTGGTGGTGGTGGTGGTGGTAGTGGAGCTTTAAGAGTTACTTGAGCAGATTCCCTTTGTTGGTAACAAGATGAAGAGGAAGATTCGGCTTTTTGTTCTATTTCAGTTATAGAAGACTGGATCATTTTTTCAATCATGTCTTTACTTTTTTTTTCTATTAATCTGCGGGAATATCTCTGGTCTTTATTGAGTTTAGATTCTACAAAAGTGAGATGTAGATATTCTTTATCGTCGACATTTTCACATTACAACAATTTTACTAACACAATATAAATAATTATATATCATTTATTCTAGATGATTAGCTTAAAATAATACGTCTATCTGGTAGTTGCATACATGGACGAAAAAAAAATCAAGAGTAATAAGACATGGACGATCAGAATCTTAAAAATTTCAAATTCGGTGGTAATGATTTCGTGGCATCATTCGTGAAATTCATGATACTGGACAGAAAGTCAGACGCATACACGAACGAATGGCACACTACTAGCGATGGATATTTAAAGTATGTCTATTTCATGATATCTGTCTTACAACAAAAAGATAATACTTGTAGTAGTATTCATGGTATAGAAATGAGGTCTAGATATGCATAAGGTAATGTAATACCTTTCATCTATGCAGTGAGTAGTCTGCATACAGTACACCCATGTCAAACCTTTCGACTACATTATAAATAAAGGACTGTCCTATTATTTTTAAAGTTTTCGTGTCTAATCGTTATCGAATTGTTACATAGGATGGCGAATAAAATAAAATTAATTAACTAATTCAATAATACCTGAAGTTACACTTATAGTCCGAATGCATAAATTCGCTAAATCGTTCTATTTATTATTCTTATTGTAGATCTGAATGAGAAGCTGTCATTCCTATCTTAAGAGGCTAATTAGATTTCTGTGTGACTTACCAAGTCAAAGGTTGTGCTCAAGCATAGTAAAGTTATACGATAAAGTGAGGCTCTATTTTATTGTTCTAACCATAAACATAAGATAAGCTGCTACTCAATACAAGTAATAGTGTTTTACTCTCAATGAATTTGCTTCATGTTTTACTCGTAACTAAAGTACCAATGATGAATTATAACTACTTTCTATACCTTTGATGGATCTCCATTGAAAATTTTTAACTAAATTTAGGTGCGTATAAGGACTCCTGGAGACTTCTTCCAGTAATCTTCTATATATAATATAGTCGTCAATGCTGATAGGATATTGTATAGTATACTGTATACTGTATAATCTATAACATTGTTGTATCTTATATTGTTTAAAGTCACTATATAGTTTTTAACTCGATATTACCTTCGTTTGTGTCATAATTATAATTAAAACGTTATATTATCCGTATACAATCTATATTTGTAGTATCCCTGCATATGATAAATGTCGCGCTCTGTTGTACGATGCTACATTCTTCTTCAACGATTGAAAGCTTTGGACTGTGTTAAGATGTTTTTATTTTTCAATTTCATTTGCTATTATGAAGTAATACACTAGTTATGATTATAATTGTTGTTAGCTGATTTTAATAATATTTTTGCTTTCCCTTACTGATTGCACGCGACAGAAATCTGTGGTTATGGCTAGGCTGATCAATTGCTGTAAGCATAGTAGTGTGGTTGCATAATGTGTCCCGTTATTCCCATATGAATGTAATAGAAATTTGTATACTGTATGTGCTGTCTACTGTATATATATATATATATATATAAATATAGACGATTTAATGATAGTCACTTTGCTACAATCCTCACCTTGAGCATAATTGAAGGCATTTATAATATTATACTTTAACCGCTCTATTTCATTGTGGTAATCTTCATCTGATATTTGCAAATGCTCAGTGTAATTTAGAAACGAATATATTTTACATTTCACATAGCTAAAAAGGCCGGAATTTTCTAAAGATTCCTGCTTTCTTTTTCGCAACACTCGCTTGTATAATTCCGAATCAGCTTCTAAATTGGACACTAAGTTTTTTAACGCTGTACGAGTAGCTTCTTCTCCTACTTGTTCATATTCTTCAACACTTATACGTTGGCAATAAGTCTTCGACAAGGGAGGGGCATCCTCAAATTTGCCAAGTTTATCTGGAGATGAAGTTACTTCCATTATTAGCTCTGAACTCAGTGATTAGTTCCAAGTCGAAATGTTTCAACGTTGAAGCCGACACTCAAATTGAATAATATGGTTGCTCAATGTAATACTGTAGGTGAAGTACTGTACACGCGAGTATTAAAACCAAACGAGTGTTGTACTGTACCATAGAGACCAATAAAATGTCAAGAAAAAGAAAAGTCCGTAGGCAAAAAGACTGGTTCCATAGTACTGTACAGTACAGTACATACATTTACAGTGTACTGTACTGTAGAGTTCAGAAAAAAGCATACTGTACTGTAGAGTTCAGAAAAAAGCATACTGTACTGTACAGTACTGTACTGTACAGTACTGTACTGTACTGTACTGTACAGTGCTAACTTATCGTACTGTACTGTACTGTACTGTGTAGTACCGAACCCAAGATAAAAAGTTTTTTCTTTTATCGCTGTGATGATTTAACCAGTCATTCTGCATGCGTGATTTCAAATTTGAGTGGCGGTTAAACGCGCTATACTGTACACAGGGTTCGGACTAGACCATGAAGACCTCTGGGTGCACGACATCTCCGGTGCAGTCCACGCTGTACAGTACTGTAGTAAGTAGTCCATGATACTGTACACTAGGCAGTTCAGCACAGAACCGTACTTACTGTACAGCCACGGTTAAAAGATCAAGATATAGTACAATATCTGGCGAACGTTTTACTCGGTAGTGAACCTAAAGTCAAAATTATCATGAAAGTAACTATACAGAAATGGATAGGTGTAGCAAGTTGGAAATGGCAAGTGAATGATGACAATTGTGGTATCTGTAGAATGCCCTTCGATTCTTGCTGCCCGGAGTGTAAACTACCTGGTGATGATTGTACAATAGTATGGGGTGAATGTTCGCATTGTTTTCATGTACATTGTATTTTGAAATGGTTGCAATCACAGAATTATCAAGATCAGACTTGTCCAATGTGCCGCCAGTCATGGAAATTTAAGACTCATTAACCTTGAAACTGAAGATAAAAGAGCTATAAATACATAGGATAGACACGCAGGTAGACTTACAGGACTATTTTTCCTGTAATTTTCCAACGTCTGGCGTTATGACTCTATCACTACGAGGGTCTCGTCCTGCATACAGCTATCGTGGTGTTATTAACATATAACGAAATTCACAATGGACTTTGTATACTGTAATCTACACTATACGCGTAGTATCTTAGATCTGTGTATTTTCTGTAATAATACATCAAATGTTAGGAACATAAATATGCCAGCTCTACTCGCATAAATACTCTTTGAAATTGCTCCAACTAACTTTCTTATTCATAACGACTCAAAGTCATAAATAGCAAATCCTGTAATTACTATACGCGTACGCAAAGTAGAATGAAGCGATACAAAAATACAGTACGGGCATAATAATATATATATATAAGAGAAAAATCGATGATAAAAATATAAGTATAGTAGCTATTATAACGATTAACTTGGTTTGAATAATTAATAATATTTCTAAGTTACTATGTGCAGTCAGTGCTCCGGTGTGCACGGTGCAGAATTTGATTACTTGGATAATTATAATTGCAATTACTGTGTAATTAAATGGTCATGCAACCTTATATACGTATATAATTATATGTACTTTGCAAGCATTTATTTAGCGAGATACGTAAATATGTCGGCTTAGTTGGCGTACAGTATTAAATTAATTATTATAATCGTAGCATTGATGCTCGTATCATTAGTTTCATAAATTTATCGCCTTAAAATTTCGGCACGTACTAAGTACACGATTTTGTAAGAGCTTCAAACCTACTGCACCATGGACTTCTAAAATACCATAACTTTAATAGTCCATGACTGTACATTGTGCAATATTGGTGCTTACTGTTTAGAGCTGAGTAGTAAGCCTTCACAGGGATTAATAGCTTTCGTTCGCTCACATACGTCGTACTTTATACTGCATAATTCATAACAGGCACTTCTAAGAGAAAATTCATCTTAGAAGTCCCTGGTTCATATTTATGGCAGTCCACGAGTATATGCGCATAGGTGTACACCGTACACTTTGCGTTAGACGGATACATACAGGTATGCACGGTACGGAAGCTTTAGTAGTGTAAAATAATATAAAATAAAATTGATTTTATTAGTAAGATGAAATTGCCATGTCACGTTTAGGTTTTAAATACCAATCGTTGCTCAAATAGTAGATTTATAGACTACAGTAATAGTATTAGCAATTACATTAATGCTGTGGCATAAACATTAGCAAAACATCTATATGATCTTAACAATCGAGTTGACATTAAAAACTACGTCATGTATAAAGATTGCTTTGGAAAGCAGTGTACAAAGCATCTCATTCTAGGCTTGAATAGTTCTGTGAACGGAATGTCGCGGATTTATATTATAAAAAGCTGATTTACATCGCTAAATTATATAACCCATGAGTATTACTAGTAACTTTCCCATCCTGAGCACAGTACGCTATGTAATTATACTAAATTAAGTGAGCTTTTTAACGTTTAATTATAGAATTTAAAACATATATATCTCTAAAGTGATAACAGACTTCATCAATGTAGTGCTAAAGTATTCCCCATTCATCTTCGAAGGCGTTGCAGACTTTAGCGCAGGTTAATGCCCCGGAAAGAGGATATTCAGAGATAGCAATTTCTTCTTCTGTGTAATCAACTTCAACCTACAGTGGTAAAATAATAGATACAACGTGCAACTTTTCATACTGTAGTTACAATTGCTAACTATTTTCCTCCGGATGAGAATAATGCATATAACTCATACCGGCAATATACTTGTAACTGAAATTTAATTCAGATATACTCACTTTGCCATGAGCCATAGCACCGATGACGAAAACTATGGGCTGATCTTGGGGCACTAATTTATTAACTTTAGTAAGGTTATCGCAGCTAAAAGAAGTTCCTACCAAAAGAATACAGTAAAATACTGCAATACACTTTATAGCTTCAAGTTAAAGGAATCTTAATCTATAATGGCTCAAAATTTTGAGATCTCTTTAAATAAATTTACTATAGTAGATCAACTACATCAATGTACGATACCAATTTTTCGACATCCAGTAGGCAAATGATCAGTAATAGGGTTTTTGATAACCTTCAAATGTAATTATGGTATAATTAAATTTATCGCTGTATTAGCCAAGTACCATGATAATAACAGCAAAATTTTCATTACTACCACTACTAAAAACAACCTTTAGTAATTTCTTGGATCCTTCTGCTGAATGAATACTGAATTTATGCAGTAATTGAACTAAGTAAAAAAGAGAATGAATGTATAGTTAGCAGTAGCAAAGACTCACCGATTCAAGCACATACAGAATTATATTGAAAACTGGCTCTTAATCTTAAAGGATAAAGGATGAAGAATTTTACACGTATAAACGTAATTATTTAGTAGGCTTGCCCATTAAACCGCAGAATCTATCAAAAGTTCTTGGAATACGAGTTTGTGGATTGACTTCAATGAGGACATTGCGTTGGGTATGAATGTAAACTTGTAAGTTTCCAGCGCGGTTAAGAGGGCTGTCTAGTAACATCAACAAGCACTGAAACCAGAAGTAATTATGTGATTTGGGTTAGTAATATCATACCATTGCACAAAAAAGTTATTTATTTTAAAAAAAAATGCTAATATAAATATGTCCAAATAAGGATTACTATCCATCATGACAAAAACTTATGCAAAAATGAGATTAATTATGGTAGCATAAGCCTTTACGTAATAATGACAACAATTAATTATAAACTTTCAACAGATGTGCGGTAAATCTGAGCCAGTTTGTATATCAGATATTGATAGCATGAGGAATATAGTGTAGTAACGTATGAGAAAATAAGATTGTACTTATGTAATATTTGATAATACAGATTATGAAGTCCAGTTCTGAGCGCTATATAAGACTATAGCACATGCGAATAAGTTTCGTATCTCAGATTCTAGTAAGGTGGAGCTCAATATAACAATTATAATAATTTATATCAATAAGCCTTAACTAACAGCCTTACAATACGATATAATACGCATAGCAATTTAAAAATTATTTGTATAACACTATCATTATTTACCTGATGGGCTATATCGGGTCTATATAGGGCAGGATCTCTCTTGCTTTTTCGTAAAATATTAGCATGCCGATCAGCAGTTAACAATTCGAAATTATTTTTAACCTACAGTAGATATATACGTACGAGTATAATCAGTATAGTAAGTTACAGCTTTTCACATAAACGTACAGTATATGGACTATCGACAATTACTATTGATAAGTAAAATTAAAGTCCGTGCAAGTATCGAATTTGCTAAATTGTCTCCCAATTAAAAAGGAGCGGCGGCGGTAGTGCAAGTGCTAGTACATGTATATCTTATTACCTTGACACTTTCTAGAGATGCATTTTCTAGAATTACAATTAAGCGTCGATCCGAATCACGCTGTTGCAAAGTACGTGGAATTTTACGATGAGGTTCTTGTTCATCATCATCATTGTCTCGACTCCGTGTGGATGACATTATCTATTTATAATCACTTATTTTCACTGCAAGGATATTCAAAAAATTTTAAATTAATGATTCGGGTTTGCAAGAAAAGAAATCTAGCATTGAAGTGCACCAGGATTTGGGATACTGATAGTCTGATATTGTAATAACAGATATACTGTATATACGAGTATATATTGCAGGTAATTATAATCAATCAATATTACGTGCATATGTTACTAACATAGACGTATATTCGGATATATTTCATGCGCCTACAATATCCGTATACATTATTTAATTAATGTACACGCGTAGATTACGGACACTACAGTACTGTTAATATAGACTACTAATACAGTACATCATCTAGTAGGACTCCACGCCACAGTTTATTTATGTGAATAGCTAGCTACAGTACCTCTCGTTTCTTCCTCGATTGATTGATTAGAAGGTTTCGCTTTTGAATGCTGGAAATTTTGGATTTATAATACGTTTAATATTAATACATCACAATTTGAAGCCTGGTAAGATATTAAAATGAATATAAAGAGGTATCTAGAATTCGGAATGACCAGTATTTGGAGACTGCTTTGCAATTCTTTAGAGCTGCAGCGTTGCTTGCTGTTGGTCGCTGATTCGAGTTTACTTGCTACTACCAGCTTAACACTTTAACACTGATCAGCAGCAGTGCTCTATACAATCCTATTGAAATACTGTACTGTACAGTACTGTATAGTATTTACAATAAAGTACGTAGAGTGTACAGTACAGTGCTGCATGATATCGTGCGTCTATGCACTACAGAATGGTCTTCAGTACTGTACTGTACAGTATAGCATAATACTGTACTGTACAGTACAGTACAGTACAGTACAGTGAGAATGCAGTCTCTTCGTGATTTACGGTTTGAGAGTGCATGTACTGTAGAAAGCGTCGATCCACTCGCAATCGGATATTTCGAAAGTTCGTTCAGGCTTCTGAGAATTCCGGGCATTTTAGAGTTACCGAAAGGAAGGAAAAGATCTAAATAGCCTGATTAAGTAGAAATGAATGCCCCGGCACCTTTCGAACATTTCCTTTTACTACCTGATGAGAAGAAGTAATAATTTTTACCTGAAGTTACTTATACATATACTCTTTATATGATCTTTCTACAGTGATTAATTTACCACGCAGTTCTCGTTTAACATCAAATTATAGTACAACACAGAGGGCCGAATTTCTTAAAACATAGAATAAGTAATTATTATTAACCAATTGCTTATCAAATCTTTTTAGAATTACAATTACTAAGGATACCAAAGTTCCGAATGCCTGCCATTTCACGATTGCTAAAGAAGATCATACTTTAGGCAATATTATTAGAGCGTAAGTCGAAACAATTTACTCTGTACTTTTGTCGTAGCGTGGTCTGTGATATTCTGCTAATCCAATTAATAGCTAGCAAATAGTGTAAAATAGTGAACCGAAATGAAGTTACTTGGTCATAGTGTCAATCACTTAAATGGCTTTCTATGTAATACAACTTAGGCAATTACTTAAAGATCCACAAGTTATCTTCGCTGGTTATAAAGTGCCTCACCCATTGGAGTACGATGTAGTAATACGAGTGCAAACCACCTCAAATTATTCGCCTGAAGAGGCATTCTCGAATGCTCTTACTGACCTAATATCCGAATTGAACGTTCTAGATGACCGATTTAAGGTTAATATGGCAATTAAGCCCTAAATAGAATGATACAGGATTTAATCATTGGATACAGCTTTTAGAGTTATACATGCAATATCTTATTTTGATATTCAAGCTTCGCTTTTGTTACTAATGCCTATCTTATAACTCGCATGATTTCTTAGGCTGCTGTGAGAGAAAAGAAGGATAATGATTAGATATTAACGATATACTACGTTATTTATTACTAATAAAGGTAAATAATGCATCGATTTGTGCTCATTCTGGACTGATCCTGTATCATAGATTAATAGAAGGATGACTGCTAATTTACAAACTATCATTGCAGAACAAAATATCTGCCAAAAGAGCGATATACCATTTCCATTTCTATCGGAATACCTACTGCATACGAGTATATTTCAAAAACCTAATTTAATCGGCCAATTTGTAGGTCTATCTTTTTATGTAATAGTTTAAGTTGTATAATATGAAATAAATTAACAAGATTTCCTTACTTCAGCATATACTATTCTGACCAAGTTTACTACCTTTGGGTTTGTTTTGTTTGCGAATATTTCACTAAATTGTTTTACACGATATAGTAATGATGAAATGTAAATAGCTATTTCCTGTAGTTATAAAAAAATTTAAAATATGTCCTTCTTTACCTTAATATAAGCGCAATGGTTTATCTCCTATTTGAGACTGCTCTTGGTTATAAGCAAGTCATGTTTTAAAATTCGGTAAAGCGCGATAGCTTTGCCAATTAAGTTTATGATAACATAATTAATCGGCATATGCTTGAAGGATTAAATCTAGAAAGAATACTGTTCGTACAGGTGTAAATTGATTGTAAGTCACTCTTGGTTACACGCGAATGATATTAGGATCAATCACTAAAAGCTATAACTGTAATTTGTTTATTATCTAAGACGATTATTAACTTCCTTAAACTTAATACAGTATCTGGTGGTGCGAAATACTATTTCCTGAGCCAGAAATGATTACTAAAGTATAAAGATATACCACATCCATTCCTAATCCATGACGGATTTACTAGGGCTTCTAATTGATTATATTGTCACAACCATCCTCGTAAATGAGATACTGTAAAGCAACTACTGTAACCTATATGCACAGTATGTTAAATAGTATTCATGTGCGTATCACATCAGCATCATAAAATAAGCGGAAAGTATTCCGTATTTGATTTCTTATGCGTGTAAGAGAAAACTTTTGTCATATTTTTAAGAGTTAACCGCTGTATACCGTATACTGTATAGCATGCAATCGATATCAAATTCGTGGTATTTTTATGCGCTATATTGCGATAGAAAATATAAATACATAAAATTGATATAATTTTATAAGATGTGCGAGTAATTACCGTGAATGTAGAATTGAATTAAGCGCTATTGTGGCAACAATTCTTAAGCAAATGATCAGTACAATCAATCGTCAGAGCGTAGACCATGAGCACCGGGTTATTACTATTTCTAAGAAAGATGTCAACGCTCACAATACTGATTTGAGAAGGTATAAGCTTTGGATATCAGGGCAAGTACCCAACAACCGTAAAGAACTTTTTTCTAATTTCAATTTTATTGAACCATTATGCAATTTTGTACGTAATACAGTAGGTAGGAAATTCACTTACAAGAAATGGCAATACGAAAATTATTACGCAAAGATACAAGAAGTACTATAAATCATATCAATTTTAGGCTTTTCATAAAATTAAAATGAGATTTAACAGTGAACTAGTATTAATAACAATAATAGCACTGTAATGTATTATTTGCGGTAAGAACGCTGTTTTAACAATGTCATACGGAACAGAATAAAATGAACGAACTATAGATGTATGAGGTAATTCTAAAATTGTATTAAAACTTTTTACATCATAAATATTGGATATTTATATTTCTAGATCGCTTCTAGTCCTAGCTTACACAGATTATATAATTATCAGTGCTGTACCTTTCAACGGTTTGTATACTGTGGGTACAACACGTACAGTTGTGATTTTGGAGAAGGTATATTTTAAAATAGTCACATCTACTCGTACATATATATAAATATATATAGATAATATAAGATACATATACAGTATAGCATATATGTCTATACACAATCATATAAACATTAATCTGTTTAGCAATTAATACAGGCATATAAAAGATTATTAGTAGAAAGATAAAGTTTACGCAAATACTACATACTAACTTGCAACCAAAAGAACTAAATTTCAGATCATGATCAAAAATTATGTTATATCCACGCCAATGTGAATCGTAGCACAAATTTAATAAGGAATATTTACTATCAGAAATTATGCAGTTAGAAAATTTATGATTCCGTCAGGTTTTATAATAATGAATACAATAACATTTTTCGTAGCATTTCGCTAACCAAAAATACATCAAAAACTGAAGACAATAATAATTTAGAGGGCTTATTGATCAATATTCTATAAAACGGTTCGGCGATACAGTATAGCATTTTTGCAAAATATGTTTACGATGCACTAGTAGAGTCTATTATCCTATTTTAAATCAATTTATATCTCAGATCTTTGCAGCATTTTAAATAATATTGAACATAAATGATCTAAAAAGCGAATACTGTTTCAATAGTTTTAAGCAACATATAAACAGATTATAGCTATTAATTAAGATAATAATCCTAAGAAATTAAATATTAGTTATAATAATACATCACACTAATTTACAATTTCATTTGGATACTAATCAATACGGTACTAGAATATGGTATCATCGTCACAGTTTTCAGCGCTGTGTCCAGATTGACCGCAAATATCACAGAAAAGAAAATCATTACTTGAACTACTAAACCTACTAAATCGGTTATATCTACGCGGCGAACTAGAGAGCGAACTACTATCTAGCTTCGGACAATTGTCGCTGCTGTGAGCGTCGAATACTTCGCAAAAGCTGCAGTATGGGCGTTCCGAAGGCCTCCCTTTCTTGCTGAAATTTGGTGAGCCAAGCGGAGATTTATTTTTAGTTATGTCATGGCTTGCTTCTTTTTCCACTAATTTCTTTTCCAATTTTTGAATACTGTCTGAGGCGTCCACTATTTTTTTTTGCATATCCACAATAACATCATTTAGAAAGTTTACTTGCTTTTCCAAACTCTCCTTTTCTTCTCTTACATCTTCTAATTCATCCTGTAATGATTCAATAGCAATATCATGTTCATTCGATGATTTTTTTTCAACTGAAATTGACTGTTTAGAAATTTTCTGATTTAAAGTCTCTATTTGAGACAATAGGGTTTTATTTTCTTCTTTACAGGCACTGAAATTTGATAGCTCTTGCAAAATATCATCGTTTTTCGTTTTTAAAACAGTAGTTTCTTCTTTATATGACTGCAGTGTTGCAGTTAGTTCTTCAATTACTGTATCTTGTTCGTGTACCTTATTTTCTAGCTCTTTCAAGGAGTTAATGTTAATATCCATCATTTTCAATTTCTGTATAGATATCTCATTCTTTTCTTGCAACGTTTCAATTTGCGAATGAGAATCTTGTAATTGTTTACTGGCCTCCTTCAAGGACTTTTCCAAGTCAGCGCATTTTCTATCCGTTATTTCAACTCTTTCTTGCAAAGCAATTTTTTGTTCGCATATTGACGTCTTCTTTATGTCCATTTCCATACATCGATTATCAGCCGTCTCTAATTCATTTCTCAATTCATTATTTCGCTTTTTCATTGCAATCATATCTTCCTCAGACTGTTGCAAAAGACTTCTAAGAGTATCTATTTCCTCTTTTAACGATTCATTATCTTTCAATTCAACTTCCAATCGATTTTTAGCAGCATTCGCATCAACTAAAGCTGCCATATTTTCTCTAATTACATTGTCTTTCTGCATTAGCATGTAATCGCGTTCGGCAATTGTTTTGTCTCGTTCATTTAATGAATCTGAGTACATTTGTTCAGCTACCACCTTCTCATTCGTCAATGTGTTCACTTTATCTAACGCTTGTACGTATAAGTCACGTTCACTTGCTGTTAAAGTTGAGGAACTAACTAGTTCAGCATACTTCGCAGCTGCTAACTCCTTCTCTTTCGTTATATCTTGCAATGAATCTCGCAACTGCGAAGACTGTGTCAGCAACGTTTTTCTTCCCTCTTCTGCTTCAACAAGCTTCAAATTCAGTTCGTTTACATGATCTTTGAATCCGTTAATGACTTCTTCCTTATCCAATAGTTTGTTTCCAACATCATGGAGCTGGGCGTTCTTTGCATTTAGCGATTCAGTTAAAACTTCATTTTTGCCTTCGACTTCTTTTAATCGTAATTGTAAACTGGTAACTTTGCGAGATAATTCTTCAACTGCCGAGTTCTCTTCTAACTTACTATGATTTTCGAGATCGGTATACTGCGTTTTTAGATGGTCTATTTGCTGAGACAGTTCACTAACAACTTGCTGAGATTCTAGCAGAGCGATGCCTTTATTACGCAATTGCTCCAAAATTTGACTTAATTCTTCCTCTAACTTAGTTTTGTCGATGCTTATATGTTTCAGTTTCGCCTCTTGCATGGAAAGTCGCTCATTTAACAAATCATTTGACTGCTGAGCTAACATCTGCTTATTTACAGATACCTCTAAATCTTTTATGCTAACATGCAGTGACGTTTCCAAGTCAACAATTCTATTATTTCTTTCATCGAGCATGTTCCGTAACTCTTCAATTCTATTATTAACAGTGTTGAGAGTACTTTCCAGTTTGCTGTTTTTTTTCCTTTCTTCATCGTAATTTTTTTCAAGAAGTGAGTAATTAGTGTGTGCTTCTTCAAGTAATAAGTTCAATTTACTATCGCGATCCTGCTGGGATAAAGTGAAATTGCTAGACTGATCTTTCAATTGGTCGTAATTATTAGATAGTTCATTTATCGACTTGCTTAAATTTTCTTTGATTTGTTTCTGCTCATCAATCATTTTGCGTGAAGCTTCTAATTCATGAATTAGCTTTTCACGAACTGCTAATAATTCGGCAGACTGAGCTTCTTGATATTCCAAAGCAATTTCCAGTGACTTCGCTTTCGAATTGGATTCTTCTAAAGCATTTTTTAGGAACAAGTTACGATCACTTTCAATTTCTACTTGGTTATCGGTGATTTCATTCATTTTGGTATGGGTTTTATGAAGTGAAGTTTGCAACTCCTTAATACGCTCTTCGTAGTTAGT